ATGCTTCCCATCGCTGGGTGGGAGGTTGACTTTCAAATAAGGAAAGAATCAGCCTTAAATGACTCCCAACGGTCATGCCTTCCCATCGATGGTTAAGCCTTCCCATCGCTGGGTTCCCATCGATGGGTAAAGCTTCCCATCGCTGGGTAAGGGCATTCTGCCTTGTGGTAATGTTGCACCAAGGCTTTAACAGCGATGGGTAGAACTTCCCATCGCTGTTTGGCATGGTTCTGGAAATCAGCTTCGTTGAGGGACTGCTTACCCATCGATGGGAAGATCTTCCCATCGCTGGGTGGCATGATTCTGGAATCCCGGGATCACTTACCCATGCATGGGTGAAATCTACCATCGCTGGGTAGATGGCTAGCCCAGAATCATGGCCTAGCTGACCGGTGCTGAAACCCGACCGAAAAATGCAAAGTTCTCCAAAGTAAAAACTAAGTATATAAAACACTTATTTAATGTATTTTGATGTCAAAACAAGCTTTGTAAGTTGAAAACCACGTCGTTAAGGTAAAAACCATGGTTGACGAAGTCAACACCGTACACGGGTGGTTTTCACCAAAAGACAAAACCGGAAGGTGGTTTTCATGATGTTTTGATTGGAGAACCATTTAAATTCATTCAAAAACAATTCCCACAAAAAAAGACTGGAAAACCACTTCATTTAAGTGAAAACCACGGCTAGCCAAGTTTATCCCGTTTCGCGTGGTTTTTATCAAACGACAAAAAACGAAAGGTGGTTTTTGAAGTGTTTTTGATGGAAAACTCTTTAAATGTGCCCAGAAGTAAAAACCAATCATAAAAAGTTGAAAACCACTTGGTTAGTTCGGACGCCAAAAACCAACGTCGAAAACCGAATGCCGAACGCCGATTTCTGAAACCCGAACGCCGGATGGCTTGATTTTTGGTTTGGGTGAACACCAAGTGTTTTTAATGTTTTAAACATGTTTTAAAAACATTTTTATGATGTGTGAAATGCAATGAAAAGAATTTTAGCCTAAAGAGCCAAGGTGTAAAGGTTGGGTCGGTCTTGATCACAATTATGACCGACTCAACAACACTAAGACTACGGTCTTCGTTCTTGGTCTTCTTTTGGGTCTTGTTCTCTTGCTTTCTTCTTATATTTATTTCTCGCCTTGTATATTTAATAACTTGTCTCGTTCACGGCGGTTTGGCATTATCAAAACCTGTCATAAAAACGAACACGGCTTTAGTACGAAAACACGATAAACCCGTGTTTCAACAATTTCCCCCTTTTTGATAATGGCAAACAAGACGGGGTTATGCATAGGAGGATTGATTTGAGACTTAAAAATGTTCCCCCTTAATAAATGCAATTTAGAAATAGTTCCCCCTCAATCTATGCATAACCTTTATATCTTCCCCCTTTTGACATTAGCAAAAAGCAGTTCAAAAAATTGTAAAAAAAAGAAATCCTTGAACATTGATGTTTTATACTGAACATCGATGTTCAAAAATGTCCTGGAGCATCAATTGTCAACAATATCGTAGAACGATCTCCCCCTTGATGCGGTTCATTGGGTTCCGTGCTTGGAGCATCCACTACAGGTTTGTAGTCTTCAAGCACACCCTTTTGTGTATCGGCGTCCTCGTCCTCGACGTCCATGGGATCGCCGTCGACTGCGTCCTCAAAGTCGGCCTCGTCGGGAGAGGAGGACGGAGCGTAGGAGTCGTCCTCCTCATCCTCGCCCTCGAAGTTTTGGCCGAGGATGGTGCCGTCAAAGGGCGGCGGGACGTAGTTGATGTAGCGGAAGAACGCCGTCATGTCGTGGTGTTGACGTTGGAGCGTCCAATCCATCCGCTCCATGTACTGCCCCATGTCATCCACCGTGAGGGTCAACCGATTTAGGGTGTCGGCTATGGACTGCAATGAGGCCCGGGCAGGAGCGGGGGCAGGGGCACGGGCACGACTCGGTCCGGTGCCGTCGTGGTCTCCGGACTTCTTCTTGAAGGTGGTGTCGGCGATGACCCACAGCTTTGTCATCTTCGTGCTTGGCCCGACGATGTGGATGTCGGCGGAGACGATGAGGTCCATGACGAGGAAGGCGTATGGCAAGCTCCCCTCGGTGGCGATGGAGGCACAATCCGCCATGTGAATCATGATGAATTTCGCCCAGTTGATGGAGGCGCCGTGCATGATGGCATGAATCGCTTTCAAGTCCTCGTTGAAGAGCGAGGTGTGGCTGCTGTCCCGGGGGTGAAGAATCCGGGTGATGATGTAGAGAAGGAGGCGCTCGTCTGGTGGGGCCGAATGGATTGTCGGTGCGCCGCTGTGGCGGATCAAGTTGGTGATCCCAAGCTCGCGAATGACGACCGCCTCGTTATTGAGAATCCAATCGTTGCCACCGTACGTCGCGATGTCGTCACCGCGAATGGGCAGCCCTGTGATCCGTGCAAATGTCGGCAAGTCAATCTCTATGTCGTAGAGATTGGTGCTGCTGTAGATGGTGTCCCCGTCATGGAGCAGATTTGAGTAGAAGGCCCGGACATAGGCGGGATTGTAGGAGGTGCGGCTCTTGGAGACGAAGGGTCACAAACCCGACTCTTTGAGTTGATTGTCGAGGTCATGGTACCCTTTGTCTTGGGGATACAGCTCCGGTAGCACACGAGGCGGAGAGATCGGGCGTTTGGCAAAATGATTGAGGAAGCGCGTGAGTTCTTCCTCCGATCCGAACTCAAGAAAGGATCCGTCGAGGTACGGGAAGGGCTGAGGCGCTGAAGACGTTGCCTCGGCCGGACCTTTCTTCTTGGAAGCTTTGCTTTTGGACTTTCCTCCGGCCATGATTGAAACGTTAATGAAGAAAGAGAATGGATGAATGAAGTAGAATAGACTCAAGCAAAGCAATTTGTGATGAAAAAAGTGTGTTATAATGGCCAAGGATGAAGAGAATATATAGGGAGAAGAGACAATTCCGTTCGAATTTTGAAAAAATGGCTGTTGGGCCATTAATGGTGGTTCCAACGGTTCTGAAAATTTAAACTGCAACCGCCTTCCCAGCGATGGTAGGATCTACCCATCGATGGGAAGGTCGCTACTGGTAAGCGAGAAAAAGGAACGGGTTGCCTTCCCAGCGATGTTTGGATTCTCCCATCGATGGGAAGGTGACCTCTGGAAATCCGTTAAAAGTTTTAAAAAAATAGTGTCAAACACCCAGCGATGGGAGGAAGTACCCATCGATGGGTGGGGAGGTTCTGGAAAAAAAATTTAAAACACAAGTTATTCACCCAGAGATGGGATAAAATACCCATCGATGGGTAAAGGGCTTCTGGAAATCCGTTAAAAAAATTTTAAAAAAATAGAGTCAATTACCCATCGACGGGAGAAAGTACCCATCGATGGGAAGAGGGGTTCTGAAAAAAAGAGAACTTCCCTCCCAGCGATGGTGTAACCCACCCATTGCCGGTTCCCCCTGACTTCCGGATTCCTTCACCTCGAACCGTCCCTGCAAAAAAGAGTTAGAAAACCCTCCGATGCTCAAGTTAGTAAAAGTTCAAGCAAAGATAAAAGAGTGATAAAATGCACAAATTAGATCATCGTGGAGTCAAGGATTCCGAGTTCACTACGAATGCGGAAGAACGACTCTTTCTCTAAAGGTTTTGTGAAAATGTCGGCTAATTGGTCATGTGTTTCAACAAACTCAATTTTGACATCACCTTTGAGAACATGATCTCTAATGAAATGGTGCCTAATGTCAATGTGTTTCGTCCTTGAATGAAGAACGGGGTTCTTCGTCAAGCTTATGGCACTAGTATTATCACAACGAAGTGGAACGTGACGGATATTAAGGCCATAGTCCACGAGTTGTTGCTTCATCCAAAGGATTTGAGCACAACAACTACCGGCGGAAACGTATTCTGCTTCGGTTGTGGATAACGCAACACTGACTTGTTTCTTACTAAACCATGAAACTAAAGAGCTACCAAGTAAGTGGCAAGTCCCACTCGTACTTTTACGGTCCAGTTTGCAATCGGCAAAGTCCGAGTTGGAATAACCAGCGAGATGACACGAAGAGCCTTTTGGATACCACAGTCCAACGTTAACCGTGCCAACAAGGTATTTCATGATCCGTTTTACCGCCGTTAAGTGTGATTCCTTCGGACAAGATTGATACCTTGCGCAAAGGCATACACTAAACATGATATCCGGCCTACTAGCGGTAAGATAGAGAAGGGATCTGATCATACCTTGATACTTTTTGACTTCTACTTCCTTACCTTTCTCGTCTTTGTCTAGATGGTCGGACGTGCTCATCATGGTCGCCATGGCTTTGGCGTTGTCCATTTCAAACCGTTTTAGGAGCTTCTTACAATATTTGGTTTGGCAAATGAACGTGCCATCTTTCATTTGCTTGACTTGGAGTCCCAAAAAGAACGTGAGCTCACCCATCATCGACATTTCAAACTCGCTTGTCATTAGCGTTGAGAATTCCTTGCACAAAGACTCGTTAGTAGCACCGAATATAATATCGTCTACATAAACTTGAACCAAAAGGATGTTATTGTTTTTACTCTTGATAAAAAGTGTAGTGTCAACTTTTCCCCTTTGGAAACCACTATCCAAAAGAAATTTACTCAAACGTTCGTACCAAGCATGGGGTGCTTGTTTAAGACCGTAGAGCGCTTTCTTGAGTTTGAAGACATGGTCTGGAAACTCGAAGTCTTCAAACCCCGGGGGCTGGTCAACATACACTTCCTCTTGAATAAAACCATTGAGAAAGGCACTCTTAACATCCATTTGATAGAGTTTAAAATCCATAGACGAAGCAAAAGCAAGAAGTAAACGAATAGCTTCTAAACGTGCTACGGGTGCATAGGTTTCTTCGAAATCAATGCCTTCTTCTTGATTGTAGCCTTTAGCTACGAGCCTAGATTTGTTTCTAGTGATTATTCCATTTTCATCAAGTTTGTTACGGAACACCCATTTCGTACCAATAATCGTACGATCATCAGGCCTTCGCACCAATTCCCAAACGTCATTCCATTTGAATTGGTTTAGCTCCTCTTGAATAGCCAAGGTCCAATGTTCGTCGTTTATTGCTTCGGAAATGGTTGTAGGTTCAATTTGGGAAACAAAAGCCATGTGTCCTACGGTGTCCCTTAGTGAGTTACGAGTACTTACCTCGCGGTTGATGCTACCGATTACCTGGTCAAGCGGATGGTTCGTGTTCCACTTGTTCTTCTTCTTCCTCTTGATTTTCTTCTTCACCTTGGTTAGTCGTTTGAGGCATCTCCCCAATTTGTGGCTGCGTGTTGGTGTATATTCCCGTGTTCTCTTCATTGTCTTCGACGTGTATCCTCTCTAGTGAATCTGCAAGATCATCACAAATATCCTTTCTCGCCAAGCGAGGGTTATCTTCGAAAAATACAACGTGAGGGGACTCCTCAATAGTCAAGGTTCGTTTGCTAAAGACTCTATAGGCATTGCTACGAAGTGAATAACCCAGAAAAATTCCTTCATCCGACTTGGCATCAAATTTGCCCAAATTGTCTTTGCCGTTATTATGAATAAAACATTTGCAACCAAAGACTCGAGGATGGGAAAGGTTTGGCTTCCTCCCTTTGTATAGTTCATAAGGCGTTTTCATGAGTATCGGTCGAATGACGGCTCGGTTTAATACGTAGCTCGCGGTACTCACGGAATCCGCCCAAAAATACTTAGGGATTTTTGCCTCATTGATCATAGTTCTAGCCATCTCTTCGAGACATCTATTTTTACGTTCCACCACTCCATTTTGTTGTGGTGTACGTGGGGCTGAGAAATTATGATCAATGCCGAGTTCGTCACATAAATCTGAGAATAGATTTCGTTCGAACTCTCCCCTATGGTCGCCTCTTATGGCTACTATGGTTGTTTCTTTTTCATTTTGAACTTTCTTTAGAAAATTTTTGAAAACATGAAATGCCTCACTTTTGTGAGTTAGAAACAAGGTCCATGTAAACCTAGAGTAGTCATTGACAATCACAAATGCAAAGTAATTACCACCAAAACTTTTCGTTCTAGAAGGACCAAAGAGATCCATGTGCAAAGGTTGAAGCGGTCTAGACGTTGAAACAACGTTCTTGGACTTAAACGAAGCCCGTACTTGCTTCCCCTTTTGACATGCATCACATATGATGTCTTTTTCAAACTTAAATTTTGGAATGCCAATTACTGAGTCTTGTGAAACCAATTTGTTCAAAAGGTTCATGTTCATCCTCTTTACTCATGAGGCACTTAGCAAAGCCGGAAGGAGATTTGTCTAAGTTAACCATATATATGTTATCGATTCTATCACCACGTAGAATGACCTTATTGTCACTAAGGCGTTCTACCGTGCATGATTTTGAATCGAAGGTCACACGGTTTCCCTTGTCACATAATTGACTTATGCTCAAGAGATTGTGTTTAAGACCTTTAACTAGCAAAACATTATCTATAGAAGAGTCTTCGGACTTACCTACCGAACCGATGCCGATAATTTTTCCCTTGCTATTATCTCCAAAGACTACGTTTCCTCCTTTAGCGGGTTTGATTTGTAGGAACTTGGATGCATCTCCGGTCATGTGCTTGGAGCATCCGCTATCAAGGTACCAAAGTA